TTTTTTTTGTACTGGATTGAACTCGGGACCTTGTGCTTGCAAGGCAGGTGGCGGCACCACTGAGCTAAATCCCTGGCCCCTGGGTAACCTGACTCTTAATAAAAAGAGTCTGCAATCCTCTGAGCTTGAGAAAGTCTACAAATTCTGTATTGCTTTTGGCCAAAGAATAAGTTACAGTTTCTAAAAGGCAATGCAAAAGGATAACTTCCCCTGTTATTCCCCAAATACAGCTGGTCAGATAATATCTTACAAACTAATTCCTAAAGGCTACACTGTGGAATTGATTGGCCAAGAAAGGCCAGCTAGGAAATTCTGGGACAGGAGACCTAGGTATAAGGATTGTCCTGGGTTATGGCTCTTTACCTTTAAAATGAAAAAACACAAACAAAATGTTACTTAGAAAAATCTCTTCTCTCTTTCTCGTTGTACAATACTTAGCGACAAGTACAGAGAATCCAGACTGATGAGATTCACTTGAGGCCCTGGATGTGATTTTGCAAACATTTCTGTGTGGGAGAGAGCCCAGCTCTGCTATGCCACTAGTTTGCCTACCTGGGATCCCAGATTGCAGTTCCCTACTCAGAAAATCAGGACTTTGGCTAAGTTGATCTCTAGAATATGTTCTGTTTCTAGAATTCTGTCTTAGAGATTTGCCCCACTGCGAAATAATGTGGCTGTATTATGAAAACCTCAGCATACAATGCATATGTTCCCCTCTTCCAAATTAAGAAAGACTAATTATCCAGAGTGGGCCATGTATATGAATGAGAAATGCAAGGAGTAATGTGAAATTTTCCCAAGACCCCTTCCTAGTTCTGGAAGGTTAGGTGTTTCCCAGACACCCATATATGTTACAAACTCTCCATTCACTGCATTTTCCAGCATTTCCTCTTCTAAAAATTCAGGGCCATCTTCTGCACCAGCTTCTGGAAGCTGCTATCCTCTCAGTTTCTCATGGCATGGATACCTCTCAGCGAAGGTCTTGCTACCTCACTTCCTGGCTGGAATTTATTTTCTCTGCTCTTGCACATGCAGCTGACCACTGGGGGTTTCTCAGCTGCCTATTAAATGTCAAGCATCTGCTCTGGTGAGACAACCTGGGCCTGCCTGTCTGAGGGGCTGTCCCCACCAGGAGTCAGACCCTAGCAAATCAGCCAGGGTTACAGAACGGAGTCAGCTCCAAGAGCTGGGCCCAAACCTTGAACTCACATTTGAGTGGTATCGATCAGGCGGCAGTGTGACTCCTCCCCCTTAGCTTTCACCAGTTCCTGGAACTCCTCCATAGTGCTTGTCAAGCTGGCATCCATTTTAAACATGATCCAGAATTCTGTTATCCAATACCTATGGGAAGGGAGTTAAAAGTCACAGTCCAGTGCTGAAGCCAAGGACTCAAAGAAGCGGGCTCACAAAGGAATTTGCAGCTACAAAGAGGACTCCAAAAAAGAGACTGATCTGTCCTACTGTGAAGCTGGGGGCAGAGAGGGAAGGGACCCCCTGGTGACAAGCTTCAGTGTCACCACACACAAAATGCTCTGCTAAGAGAGGGTGTGTGATAATCAAAGCAGCTACAGTTGTGTGCATGAGTTATACTGAAGACGAACCAAATGTTTCCAAAACAGGGGGCGAGGAACCTAAGAAGTAGGCCATTATCACACATTACTACATTGTATCACCATGTTTTGGAAAAGTCTTTAAGGACTAGAGAACATTCCTTCAAAAGAAAGTTAAGTGCAAACTAGGATGTAATACTAGACACATTTTTATATCAACTACATTTTAAAAATCCATGTTAAAAAAGGGAAATATACCAAAATAGCTGGATGTGAGTGATTTGTATTATTTTCTGAATTTTAAAAATAGGAATAAAAATAAATGCCTGTATCCCTCTCTTATGGCATTTGACAGCAAGGTGCTGTAAAACTGAGAAAAGCATTGGTATAAAATCCTGGCCCAGGTGCCCCAGAAGAACCCCACCAGCTTCCACAGGGGACACTGCATTATCGACGGCTTGCCCTTTCCTGGGTGTGCAGAGGTGTTCTGCCCTCTGGGTTTCGGGAGGGGAAAGGCAGGGAGGACCAGAAAGACCTCAGTCCCTTGCTGGAGCCTTTCGCTTCACCCCACTCCACAGACTAAGCGCAAGCAGAAGCGTTACCTGACAAAATAGCAGATCTTCAGACAGACTCCTGGTGAATTCTTTGCCAAGGCACCCTTATAGGTAGGGCTGCAGTTAAGGGAAACAGAAGCCTGATACAGAAGCCAAGGACCTTCCATCTTTGGAAGTATCTGGTCAAACAACCCCCAGAAACGAGGAACAAGTGACTTCCTGCCTGTATCCCAGAAAGCAGGATTCCAACTGAGTCGACAAGTTAAGAAAGAGGGCCCTTTTATCTTTAAAAATGTTTCTCATAACTGATCTGTGCAATAACAATTTGAATGGTGGATTTCAAGAGGAAGAATTATAGGTTCAATTGTAATAATTCATTGTTGTGATAATTAAGAACAATAATGTGAATGTTATGCATGCACCCAGAGGATATCAGGACAGTGACCCGATAAGATCGTTAACAATTAATTTACTAACAATCATAAGTTGTGATGACAAGTCAGGCAAAGCCATGAGAATAATCCAGAGGATACCAGAGTTACTTTAGAGTCCTCATCATCCTAAATATTTCCAGAATAAGAAGGAATAGAAATATGTGAAATTTACATATCTTTAGGGGGAGGATATCCATTTATATTAAGAGTTGAAGAAAACAGAAATATAATCCAGTGAGGAAACTGGGTGGGTCTCACCACCTTCTTTCCATCCACAGACTGAGGAACAGCCTATGTGATGGTGTGCCCCAAAAGGTACACCCTTTCCCCACTAAAATCTGATGAAACAATTGCCATGTAGGGTTCAGTGAATTCTAGTTGAGCCCATGAGGAGAACCAGTAAGTAAGCCAGCAGAGTTCACAATTAACTGGGGTAGAAGTGTCTTTCTTCAGTGGGTATATATGTATCTCAATTCTTGGAAAATTCAGAATTAAAGTTAGAAAGGTAAAAGACAGTAAAAATCTCATGTTAATGCTTATTTGGAAGGCATCCATGCATTTTGAAATTCTTTGTGCCTGTAACATTTGAAAGCATATTAGAATGATAGCCTTTAAGATTCAATTTAGAATGTATAATGAAGGGTTTTGGATTTGTGGTTTAATATTGAAACCTAATTTTATAGACAGTTTAGGGATATCTAATATGTTAGCTTTATTGTTTATAACTTTAGTTGAGTTATAAAAACTAGGATTTAAGGAGGTATCTGAAGCACTAAAAAAATCTAAAATGTAAAACATGTAACTGTAGTTTAAAACCACTGGAAATATTTGATTGACATTATTCAAGTTAACCAAACATTTTCCAAAGCCCCTTAAGACTGCTTGCTGAAACACGTAAGATTTATAAGCTGAACTTAAAAAACTACAGAACTATGGTTGTGAAATCTGCAATTTTAACAAAATGACTCCCAATTTAAAAAATTAAACATGAACAAATATACAGCCTGTAAAATCTGTCCTTGAGATCGGAGCACCAAAACAATACAGGAAAAAAAAAGCCCACAAAACCTCACACATCAACAACGGTAATGAGAATAAAACTAAGCCCTAGGTGCCTGGCAAACTCCATGAAAGCAAAAGGTTCTGATGCACACCTCTCTCCAGGTGCAAGAGGAGACCTTTCCATTTTCTTAAGCCACATCAGTAAGAAACCTGTCACTCCAAGCAAAGGGACTCAGGCATAGGCACGTTACACATAAACAGCTGCTTAAATTCAGCATTTTTATTATTTGTTTACTTGATGTTTCTTACTCTTCTTTTTCAAAAATAACTAAGCGATACAGTAACTGGCACAGTGGTTTCACGTGCTGTGTGCCTTCCTTCCTGCTGCCCCGCATCCTTTTCTTCAAATGTCTACTGACAGCGCGTGGAGGCTGCATGTGGTGTGTACAAATCTTGCCTGTCTGCCACAGTGCTGGGTGTTGGCCCCTCCAAATGCCAGCCTCCTGAGGCCAGCAGAACCTGAGGCCATGGCAGAGGAAGTTGGGCCCTCTTTCTCACTTGGGGGGCAGAGCAAACACCCAGCAGGTGCAGGCTGAGTCATCAGGGGCTCAGGTGTCTGTGACTGGGGTAACTTCAGCGTTCACTGGAAGCCTCAGAACCAGCACCTTTTCTTCTCTCCAGTAAGTAGTATTATGGCCAGCCAGGACCAGCACAGTTCTGACTGTACTCTTCAGGACTCTGAACTATTCAAAGCATGTTTTTAAATGAAATCTCCCCCCGCCCCACCCAAAGGAAAACAGGAAACTGTCTGAGCCTGTTGCCTATTTAACTAAAAGTTCTATTCTTCCACATCAAAGAACACAGAAATCAGCCTGGTGTGGTGGGGCACACCCGTAATCCCAGCACTCTGCGGGGCTCAGGTAGGAGGATCTCAAGTTTGAGTCCTGTGTGGGCAACTTATCCATGTAAAGAGACCCTGTCTCAAAATTTTAAAAAGAGCTATGTATGTAGCTCAATACAAATAGCCTGGGTTCAATCCTGTGCCATGAAACAATGAAACAAAACAAAACAAGACAAAAAAAATAAAAAAGGAAAGCAAGTTTGGATAAAAAAAATCACTCCACCTTCAATGTGTAAAGTAACCTGGCTTTCCATCACAGGGAGTCTTTTATTTCATACTCTCCTCAGAATCCTTTTCCCTATGCTATGTTACATTTTAATCTTAAGCAAAATCCAGTATTTAAAAGTTCTGGCAAAAAAAAAAAAAAAAAAAAAAAAAAAC